GATACTTAATTGTTAAAAACTGTTTCAGGAAATATAGCTCCTGAAGGGTAAATAGTTTGTCTTTCTCTTACTCGGTGGATGCTCAGGAAGAGGTATGTATTTATGTTGGAGAGAATACACAGGATGCAGAGGGGGTTGTAGAGCACAAGAGGAAATTAAAAGTGAATCTCTTCTGGTTAGTACATGTACTGTGTTTCATTGCAAGTAAAACACTGCTAATTTTGGGGTCTGCTCCTGAAGCGAGCCATTTAAACTTAACATCTAAGGAAAAATCCAAGGGGGCAAGATGAGACTATTAACCCCTTAAATCACAATAGCCATTGATTATCCCAAGAAGCAATGTCACTGAATAAAGTCCACATGCCTTGCGAACACTGGTGCAAGCAGTAATGCCATTTCAGGTGCTTAGGTGTGAGATTTTCAACAGAGCTTAAGGGAATTAAGAGCAGAGCTTTCTTTTTTTAAGATGGAAATCAGACACTTCTGTTTAGTTAATATAATAGGAAAGAGCTATATGAGTTGTCTAACTCAACATAAAGCACAAAGCGTTCTTAAATAATCCTTGCAATATATTGAATACATACAAGCTTGGTACATCAGGCGCCCTGTGTAGCTTATTTTACCCAATTATTTGTAAGCGTATTTCTGGCATCAAGTAGGAGGAAAATTGCACGCCATTTTATGTCTGTACAATTTGACTGTGTGGTGCGTATCATTGCCAATTCTAATACCTCACCCCCACATCCCTGCTTTGTGTTTTGTTGGTTCTCTTGAAATATTTCTAATACCATAAAACCATAGGTAGTTTTTGATGTGAAGTTCAATTGCTGCATTGAAAATGTCTTGTCTCCAACCAATGGTCTAGCAGGTACAACTTTAATTGAATTTCCCTGAAAAGCAGCTCAGCAGCTAGCTTTTTCAAGATGAGGAGCTCAAAAGGGTTAACAAATCATGATAAACTTGGCCACTTCCTAGTGTGACTACCATTGTGTCTAAATGCCCCATAACTCTAAGAGACAGCTTTGTGCTTGACCACTTTTTAAAAAGGGATATATTATATGGTTGCCTGCAGTAGCAGGGGACTGAACTTCATGTCTCAGGGAGTTCTTTCTAGCCTGGTGATCTTCATCATCCATCTAACTAGGAGAGCTCTCAAAATCATAGAAAACTAGGATTGGCAGGGACCTTAGGGGGTCACATCTCATCCAACCCCCACTCAAAGAAGGACCATCCTCAACTATATCATCCCAGGCAGGGCTTTGTCTAGCCAGGCCTTAAAAACCTCCAAGGATGGAGAGTCCACAACCTCTCTGGGCAACCTGTTCCAGTGCTTTACTACCCTCCTAGTGAGAGAGGTTTTCCTAACATCCAACCTAAACTTTCCTTTGCTGCAACGTGAGCCCATTGCTCCTTAGTCTGTCATCTGCCAACACTGGGAACACTCTCTCCTCTGTCCCAGTGTTTTCAGCTGCTTTTTTAAGATGGAAGAAGAGCATTGGGGTCTAACCAAGAGAGCTTGGCCAGGTTCAACCTGATCTTTGGTACAGCAAGCTCCACAGCTGCAGCACTCCCACAAAGAATGCCTTGGCCTGAAGGAGCTGGAGTCCCAGGAGCACAGATTGAGAGAAAAGTTACTTTGGAGCAGCTGGGCAATTGCTTATGTAGGGCATTCAAGATCAACTTTGAAGTGGATGCTGAAGCAAAATGGAAGATAATGTCAAGTGTAAGGTGCTGGAGTGATGTGGTCTTGTTGAGCTAAAGTAGCTTAGCTTGGATGTAAGAATCCAGGCAACGCAGTGGCTAGTCCTGTTTCTAGACATGGATGACCCTGTGAAAAGAGAGGCCAGAACACCTATCGGAACAACCAAAATGACTCCACAAGTGTTTGGAGACTACATCTCTGATTCACTAGCGGCAGAAGCTTTCACACTAGTTGAGATGACATCTCTAGTGACTTCCATCCGCGGAACAAATCCACCTCCACCTTTTCTACACTAGAGCCTGGCCAGCTACTTTTTAACAAGTGTGAACTACCATGCCTTAAAATCCTCATGTAGACAAATATTCATGCTGATATGTGCTAGCTAATGGAGGTGCAACTTAATCTCCTCCCTATACCTTGGGCAGTCAGTTTACAGCTCAGACAATAGTGATTTTTATACCATATTGGCAATAAGTCAGAATCCAAAAGATGCAATGGATGCACACGTGAGAGTTGGACAGAAGAATTAGTTTTTTGTGGTTTTTTATTAAATTCAACAGCAAACTGAGAAATCATATGCAAACAAGCTACCTAAAAATTATTGAGGTTGCAAAGTCAATTACTTTGAAATTAAGAAATGCCAGATTTACAGTTGTTCCTGCAGACTTAATCTGGTCCCTTATGTGTATGCAGTTTTAATTCAGTCTTTAATTACATAATTCCACACTGATTTTTTTTTCCTTCCACAGGATGGGTGTACAAGGAGGCATTAGTAAAGTTGCATCTGTGTTTTCTTAACATAACATTGTATTAATTTGACAGGCACTGGGGTTGTGGCAGTGACTTTGTGTCACCAGAAAGTTTCTTGCACATAAAAGACATACAAAAAACTAGAACTCTTGGTCCCAAAATGACACCTTTTATTAGATCAACTGGGAAATAGCAAGAAAATTGTCCTGTACACACTTGCACATAAAAGGGATGCACAGGTCCCCATTTCTGACAGTTTTTTTGGCTGCTTTACACTGAAGAGGGTGGGAAGCATTCAGGGGAGCACATGAATTTTAACTTCAATTTCTAAAAACATGCTTTTAAACCAATTGTGATGAATGTTATTAACAGGCAGCTGTAGGCCTGAACAGGAATGCTAGATTTGAACTTTCAGGAGTTTGAATAGATCTCAACCTTGCAGCTCAGGTCCATCTCTAGCAGAGCTAAACGCACAGGCCCATGAATTGCAGTCACTATCTGTATTGGGGCTCTTGGTTATATCCAGGACAAGGAGCTCCGTTTGGCTGCTGGTACAGAACAGACAACCAGGCAGTCTGTGCATCTGGAGAATTGCTAGGTAGGGTATGACTGGCTCTGGCAACAGGACCTTCTCCCCTTTCCAGTTGCGGTTGTGTGGAGGCATGTCAGGGGCAGGGTTCAGTGCGGTGCACCTGGGTGGTCACCATGTGGCAGATGACTGCTAGGAGCTTGAGATGCAACTGGGGGCAGGGGTTGCCTTCCTCTGTTGTGGGGGACGTGACCCTCTATCTGGGATCTCTCAAGCGTATGTTAACCACCTTTCACAGCAGCAGAGCATTGGCTTTTCAGCTTAGTAATGGTTTAAAATCTCACAGCAGCTAGAGGACACACTGAAGGCAGACCTCAAGTAAACAGATGCTGACATCAAGGGCCGGGAGGAGCTGGTTGCTGACTGACTCCAATGGCACATAACCTCAACCAAACAGCAGCCCGCTTTGAGGTAAAGTCTCTTGCCCTCAAAGCAAAGAGAAAACAGGAAGAAAGAGGAGAGGAATCCCAGCTTACAGCCTGCAAGACCTGTGACTTCTGCAGATGGGTCTGTGGCTCAAAGATTGGACTCTTCACTCAACTCAAGACCCATCCATGAGCCATGGTAGAGACCATCCTCAAATCGAGGGACTGTCGACAACAGCAGCAGCAGCACGTTGACTGCTTTGGTCCCCAAGCTTTCCCAGCTTAGTAATGGCCTGAGATCTCACCGTGGCCTGAGGAAACGCATCAAGGACACACTGACAGCAGACCTCAAGTCAGCGGACGCCAACGTGGAGAGCTGGGAGGAGCTGCTGCTGACTGACTCCAGTGGTGGCACCACCGCAACCAAACAGCAGCCGGCTTTGGAGTAAAGCTTCTTGACCTTGAAGCAGAGAAGAGAGACCGGAGGAAGGAAAAAGAAATCCCAGCCTACTCTCCCCAGCAGAAAGGCCCGTGACTTCTGTGGATGGGTCTAGTGGATCAAGAACTGATCCCCAAAATTGGGTCATGGATGAGATTCCCAAGTTAGCTCATGGATGGGGACACCCCAAGTTGGCTCATGAATGTGACCCCCAAGTTGGCTCATGCATGGGACCAAGTTGATTCAAGGATGGGACCCCCAAGTTGGTTCAAGGATGGCATCAAGTTGGTTCAAGGATGGGGACCACCCAAGTTGGCTTATAGATGCAACCCCCAAGTTGGCTCATGCCTGGGACCAAGTTGGTTCAAGGATGGGGACCACCCAAGTTGGCTCATGGATGGGACCCCCAAGTTGATTCAAGGATGGCATCAAGTTGGCTCAAGGATGGAGACACCCCAAGTTGGCTCAAGAATGACTCCCAAGTTGGCTCATGGATAGGACCCACCAATTGGCTCATGCATGGGACCAAGTTGGTTCAAGGATGGGGACCACCCAAGTTGGCTCATGGATGCAGCCCCCAAGTTGGCTCATGCCTGGGACCAAGTTGGCTTAAGGACAGGACCCTGAAGTGGGCTCAAGGATGGGGACCCCCCCAAGTTGGTTCAAGGACGGGACCGCCCAAATGGCTCATAGACGGGACTCTCAAGTTGGCTCGTGGATGCGACCCCCAGGTCGGGTCACGGACGCGCCCCCGAGT